GCCGAGTCATTAATCTCCTGCAATCCCTAAAAGACCTTGGATATTCTTTTAAGGAATTCATGCCTTGAAAATCTGTAAGATGTTCTTCATCTCCTATCAAGTGGAGCCACATATATTAAATAATCCATATATTTCTGACTATTCATGGAACCTAACCAATCTAGACATTGAGAAAAAGAACATCTGATCTTAGGTCTTCAGACATGGATGGGAGGGGAGGTTATGAAGCTTCTTGCTCACTGTGCCAGAGGTTATTTGGGCAATAAACATTTTGAATCCAACAATCTATTCTTTTTAGCAGTTTCCCTTAAAAATTGTGATGAAATAACTTGTCTTTTCTTTTTCAACCTGCTTAAAGTTTAAAGAGTTTCAGAAGGGAATAGATGAAGTATTAATGGGTTCTCCCAAGAAGACTATATGCTATGACACTGAGCATGGGAACTGCATCCTGCAGAGGACGGCAAGACAACTGGGCTAAAGATAGATGACAAAAGTGTCCCTGCTCATCATGTCATTGCTTTCTAAGGCATTTTTCTCTGGCATTTTTATTGCAGAAGTTGAACATACTCAAACTAGAATATAAATCACTAGCGATTATACTGATGGATTGGGAGGAATCTCCTTTTATAAAGATTGAGTAAAATATCCTGAGGCAACAAATTGTTCTTAGGAAGACCTTTTGGCTATTAGAGTAGAAGACAGGAAGATAGTTCCAAATATAATTTATCAATCAGTACATGACACTGCCTTCTGCCATATTAGTTATTTCTAAGAAGGTTTTAAATAGCAAAAACAGATATTCAAGAATTTGTGTGTGGTGGTGCATGCCTATAATCCTAGCAGCTTGGGAGGCTGAAGTGGGAGGATAGTGAGTTCAAAGCCACTCTCAGCATCTTAGGGAGCCCTAAGCAACTCAGAGAGACCCTGTCTCTAAATGAAAACTTAAAAAGGAATGGAGATATAGCTTAGTGACTAGGTACTCCTGAGTTCAATCCCTGCCCCCCCCAAAAAAAAAGAATTTGTGAATTCAAGAATCATTATATGACATGTTAATTGAGACTTTGTGTACTTGAGTTCACCTTATAATACAGTAATATTTTTAATTCCATGCACTTAGCAAGCATTGACCTTGTTTTGGAGGAGATGTGGTGACATTCAGGAGCACAAGGTGCTGGAGGAGTACCATGAGGGCATTTCCTTTTCCTTTAGAGCTTTAGTTTTCTCATTTGTTTAAAAGCAGAACTGCAGGATTATAGATGGAAAGGTTACGTAATATATGTAAAAGTCTTTGCTCTAAGCCTTTAGTCAGTATTGGTCTCCCTTCTTTCCTTTTTAGCACTTGAGATTCCACAGATATTTACCAAGTTTTAACAGTAAAGCTGATTTTTACTCTGTCTCTGAGTGTAGCCTTCTCTTTGTGGTCCTATTTGTTCTCATTGTGTCCTCTGATTTTTCACAAAAGACCAAGTATAGCTTGTTGTGTCATTGTTTATACCCCAAGCAAGAGAAGTAGCTTTCTTAAAAATTTAGATGATAAATTTAGGTTCTTGCCTGCTTAGCTAGAGGAAGAAATCCCCAAGTAAGACTCAGGTTTTCTGGATGGATCTTTCCAAATAGAATACTTGGACATTTCATTTAATTCAGCAAGGTGCTGATTCCTTAATGCTTCCTACCCCTACCCTTACGTTATATGCTATTAGTCACCTTAAAACATTATTTGTCAAGTGTCTAGTTTTCTAATAGTGAAGTCTTTAATTGCTTTTATGATGATAAGTTGGTCATTTCATGGTTTCATATATTGTCTTATTTGTTTAAGTTTTTCTTGTGAATTTATGTAATGGCTCGTTGTTTCGTCACCTTAATTTTTCCCCTTGGTATAGCAACAGGGGTTTTACATATCTTTTCTACTTCTGTGTCTAGTGAATACTCAATTCAGTTTCCTTTTTAAATATTACAGGTAATGAATTCTGGTTTTGGAGTGGCAAGTTTTCTGGTTTACCATTTTTTCAGTCTCTTCTCCCTATAATGTTAGATCAGTTTTAATACTTCATTGTCATTAGATACCTCTGTGCTTTCAGTTTACTTGCTGTGCATCACCTTTGTCTGTGATCTGTTTGTATGTTTGTCATACTTAGCACACTGTGAGTTCCTCGAGTCCGGGAACCACATCTTATTTCTATTCATCTTTGCATTCCCCTTGCATGACAGCATGTGATACTTTGGTTAGCACTTTATAAACCCCCAGTGAGTATATTCTATGGAGATTTATTCTGACTTACTTTCTTCATTGCTCAAAGAACTAAAAATTTGTTGGGGCTCTATTTTTCATGTTTGGGGCTTGTGTACACTTATAACTGGAGTGTTTATTTGCATCCTTTCCTTATACTGACTTCCCTAATCTCCTTTAACATGATATCCGATTTGAATAGCTCTGGATTAGCATAAGGATTATATATTTTCACTAATTAGCAAAGGTATTAAAACAAGAGTCCTTTGATACTGCTTGATCTACCCACTTCCCTTAGCTTCTAGAAAATTCCATTCTTGGGTTTCCTTTCTGTTATTTTTTTTTTTATCTGCCACCATCCAGATGTCTCTAAATTCAGTTCAATAATCCTATTACTGGCACAGGAGTGCTGACTGTGTACATAGTTTATGAAGGTGGTAAATTTGACTGTGCTAGATGTGTGCGAAGCTGCATTGGGAGCACAGAGAAGCACCTTGTGGCAACCTGTAGGCATGGGGCTGAGAGCCTGAAGAGAGGGATAGGGAGGAGGGCTCCAGAGAGGAGGGATTCCTAAGGAGAGAGTGAAGTGTACATGGAAATTAGTATATCAGGGAGAGAGGGGGCTTTAAAAGCAAGAACAAAAGTACAGAGTTGAGAAACAGCAAGCTGTATGTGTGTGTTGGGGTGTGGGGGGAGTGGAGGAAGGTTGCTGGAAGCCAGGAATCTAGAGTTACAATGACTGAGCACCAATATGGAGTCAGTGAGCTCAGTAGCCTTGGAAACTGGGCTATTAGATATCCATGTTCTGTCCTAGCAGTTGGAGGAAGTAGCTTCTATATTAACATATTGTCTGCATGTATTGATTTCTGGCCACAGTTCCTATAGTGGGGTGGTTCAGGGCATAAACTTTGTAGTAAAGTCTGAGCCCTGGCTCTGCCACTTAATTGCTGTGTGATCTTCAGAAACTGTACTCAGTTTCCTTATCACTAGTATGGAGATAATAATAGCACCTACTTCATTAATTGTCACTGAGGTAATAGTCACCTTTTTTCCTTTTTAAACTAAATACATATTTTTTTTCTTATAATATTTTAAACTCTAAGCTTCAGGATGTGGGGTGGACTAAAAGTGAGGAATGAGGCTGGTGTTAACTTAAATCTTTCCATCCACTATTCAGAAAGATTTGAGAGCAAGAGAAGTCCAGAGAAATGTTAGTCCTTCAGCCAGTATTTTAATATAGACTAACTGAACAGACTTCTACTTCTTAATACTTACACTCTGAAATATGATACCAGGCCATCACTGCCTGGTATGCAAATTGTCACACACAAAGATTTTGTGAAGAATTAATCTTACTATTATTTCAAGGTATTTTTCCCTCTTAAAAATATTACTTGGGCTGGGAATGTGGCTCAAGTGGTAACACGCTCCCCTGGCATGCATGGGGTGCTGGTTTCGATCCTCAGCACCACATAAAATAAAATAAAGATGTTGTGTCCACCGAAAATTGAAAAATAAATATTAAAAAATATTCTCTCTCCCCCCTCTCTCCTCTCTCTCTCTCTCTCTAAAAAAAAAAAATTTCTCTCTCCCTCTTCTCTCTCTCTTTAAAATAAATAAATAAATAAATATATATCTTGGTTTTCATTGACTCTAGTTAGTTAGAACATTCCAGAAATGCTAGGTCCCAGGGCCAAGGATTTGGTAATCTTTTTCATTTGAGTATTTCAGAATCCTTATACTATCTTTTGTCTTTAAAACTTCCTTGAAACTGGCTTGTTAATACCCAGTATATAGACTTATCAACATATTGTTTGCATGTGTTGAGTTCTAGCCACAGTTCCTATAGTGGGGTGGCTCACCCCATAAACTTTGTACTCAAGTTTATGTGGGCAGAAGTAAGAACATTGGTTTTTCATTTTTGTTTTAGGAGATTGATTTTTTAAAAATACCATGTCAATTAGAATAATTTAGCAAGTACATAGTTTTACAATAATCTCTTTTTCATAAACAGAATACTGGGAAGTCTAGCAAATCATACATTTTGTTATCAAAATATAGACATTTGATAAGATGCAATTTCACAGAGAAAGCCATTAATCATCAAGTTATTTTTCACCCAAGTGTTGCCTTTGAATCCTTTACGTCTCTGTTTTCTATTCCTTCCCCCATTAGGATAGGGCTGCTCTGTAATTAGTGAAGGTACATGTCTGTCTTTAGGCAATAGCCTAATCTCTATGGCCATATGTGCAAGAGCAGTATAATTACAGTAGAGTATTAATTGGACCATGTGACTGTTTTTGTTTTAATTATTTAAAGTCATCTTATCTTTCTCTTCCTTAAAGCATGTTAATGGGTCAATCCATGGGTGCCATGTTTATGTCATTTCTATGGAATTAAATATGTACACATTTACATAAACAGTACTCTTTTATGTGTTATAATATTATGGATGTCTCTCTTATACATCATTTTAGACCTGGAAAAATAAAATATTGTAAAGAACTGATTTTTTTTACATTTTGCTCAATTTGTAGAGCATAGATGAGAATGCAGATCTCTCCAATATAATAGGTTGTTAGCAATTTCCAGACTTATTTCTTAGTGGATTAGGGATTTACATGCTAATCCTGGTACATTCTATTTAATAATTTGGTAGAAAATTTAGTGATAGGTATCCATTTTCTCTAAATTCAAGTATTTGTCAGACTATATATAGAAACTGGCATTTGTCTGAATTCAGGTTTTAACTTTTGTCTCCCTATTTTTTCAGTTGTTTTTATTTCAGTTGCTGCGAGGGCTGTCTTACATCCACCAGCGTTATATTTTGCACAGAGACCTGAAACCACAGAATCTTCTGATCAGTGACACGGGGGAGTTGAAGCTGGCAGATTTCGGTAGGAAAGCAGTTAATTACCAGTCTATTTTGTCACACGGTGAAAGTGCCAGGCAGATGGTGGCACTGCATTTGTTAGGTGCACCACTTCTGTCATCATAGAGCATGGTAAATTTTTTTCTGGAAAGAAGATTTTTTTTCTTTTTTAATATAACATAAAACATAATGGTGGATGGATTTTTTAAAAATCTAGGCTGCTTACTTAAATAACTATAAGCATCAGATCTCAATATATGTTTCCAAAGGAAATGGCAGTAAAATGTTGAGCATAAAATATACTCAAGGACATCTTTTTTTTTTACTGTTTATTATGATAATGTCAAGTATACTCAAAAATAGAAGGATATGATAGTTCATCACTGAACTTCATCAATTACAAATATTTTTTTCAAAATTTAAGAAATTTAAAGTCAAATGAGCCATTTCAGGGCATTGTAGGATATATAGTAATCAATAATGTATGCTACCTAAGGATTTATAACTTAGAAATCTAGGGACAGCTTGACCTTTCCAAAAATGACTTTTGTATCAAATATTTTTTTACATTATAATTGTAGGCACATTTCTATTTAAAAGTTGGGGTTCTAATGGGCCTATTATAAATCAGTCCTTCCTAAGAAGTTTTAAGATTGGCCTCTTCCAGCTTAGACACTTTCCTCCACACATGGCTTTGAGCATCTGAAGGGGTTCAGAACTCTTGTGTCCTGTTTGCTACCTCCCTTTTTTTTTTTTTGGCCAAGGCTTATGTTGCTGCATTGCTCAGGCTCTGTTTCCCACCAGACATTCTGTTCAGTTGACTCCCAGCACTGGGGGATGTTGCTTGATGACAGCATCACGTGTTGACATTGCATTACCTCAATTATGTTTGAATACATATTCTGATTAGAAAATCGTTTCATTAAGAATGGAATAAAAATATTACCCTTGGGACATAGATGCCTGAGGTTGTGATATGGGCTTTTGCTGAAATATGATTATCTTTTCCCAGTCCAAACCCCAATAAATAAAAGAAGGCAGAAATGATTATTTTTGTATTTCAAGGTTAGCAGATGGTTGAATGACTTTGGAATGAATGTATTCTGTTGGGCTTTTTGTATTTTTTTCTTCCAAAAGTGAAATAAAGGGAAAGTTACCATTACTAGTGATATATTACAAAACTTTTTTGTATTTACCCACTTTGATAAAAAATGATGAAACTGTGTTTGTATGTTTGTGTGTGTGTGTGTGTTGTTGTTGTTTCTAGATTTAGCATCAAGATTATTCTAAGTGGCTAGATAAAAGGCTACTAGACTGTAGAAAATAATGGCAGGGTAGATGCATTGGGGTGAGAAGGTTTACTTTTCCTCAAATTCAGAGGTATTAATTTTCCTGTGAATATATTTTGTGATTTGTCAGTGTGAGTAAATTACAAGGAACTTACAGTGATTTCTTTATGGCATGCCAATATACTATAAGGTGTTTATTGTAATAAATTATTATATTGACATTTAATTGTATTGAACATGTTTTTGTGTATTTTTAAAATATATTTTCATAGAATTGGTTTGTCTGTATAGCCAAGGATACAATAGGATTGTATGGTTGTGCTTATTGGAAATTATTTTTAAATTTTAAAATGATGATATTATAATAGCCAGGTAAGTTTGTCTTAAAAGATTCTAATGAATCTTTAAAATTGGATAACATCATGCTCAGTGAAATAAACCACATTTAGAAAGTTAAGGGACAAATGTTTTCCCTCATATACAGAAGCTAGAGAGAAAAAAAGGAATAAAATGAGGGATCTGATGAAAACAGAAGGAAGATCAGTATAAGAGAGGTAGGAGATCAAGAAGGAGGGAGGAAGAGAGGAGAAGGGGAAGAACTGGAGAATAAAATGAATATACCACACTGAATTCACTTTTATGTATAGTTGTAATGCAGCAATGAAAAACAATATATGTGTAAATTAGTAGAATAAAGACCAGAATTGTAGAGGAAGGGAAATGGAGGTATGAGGGGAGGGAGGGGAAAGTACTGAGGAGTATATTGAAGGAAATTATTTTATGTATATATATGAATGCCAGTGAACCCCACTGTAATGTATGATTATTATATACTAATAAAAACTGATGTTTTATAATACTGGATTGAGAAACAACTTAGAATCTAATTTTTAAACAATGTTTTTAGAAAATTTGGAAAGTATGAACAACTCAGAAATGACAATATTAACAATTTTGTTTATGAATTTTCCAGTGCCTTTCTCCTCCTCCTTCTATTCCTCCTCTCATTTCCTGCCTCATGTGTTTATTACCTATCCTTAAAAAATGAAATACTGTTTTTCAAGAATTTTTCATATAAGAGTATGCCTTTTCTTATGTTATTAAGAATGGCAGAATTGTCATGCTTATTGCCCACAACCTAGTCAATCTTCAATCCTTTATCAATGAGAATTCTAGTTCTTTCTAATTGGCACAATCCTTTACTGAGCATCTTTGTAGTGAAAGCTGTATGTGCTACAAGCATTTGGTTCTTCCGCCCAGACTGCTCTGCAGAGGGTTGAGCCCAGGCCCCTCCCCTTGGTGTCTTGGGCTGATTCTTCTAGCTTGGAATGCTCACTTGGCGTACATCCTGTGCAGGGAGTGTAATGAGCGAGACTCATTCGCCAACTGACAATTTCCCCCAATTAATTGTGCATTATTTTTGTCTTTTAATTTAAGACATGCAATTAACTGTGATTTACTGTGTTTGGGCACGTGTGTGTCTGAGATGAAGGAAACACACTGAAAACTATAGAGAAGCAAAACAGTCAAAATAGGATGGTTCCAGGCAGCAGAACAATTAGAAACACAAGGTCTTAATTTAGAATTTGACATATAAAAAGCTTTAGAAACCATTTCTTTGTCTTACCTTTCTCTCTTATGTGAGCAGCACCATGAAATTTTGATTAAGAGACAAATGCATTCTGTATAATTGTATTTTTCATATTGTAGTTACTACTTTCTTATTAAAAAAATACATTGGAGGAGTAAAAACACTGAAATTTACTATGTTTGTTCTTTGCATTAGATACTTAGAAATTCTTGGTTCATTTCCTCCTCAACCATAGTATACCAAAGCATACTTACCTATATTTTTGAGAAAAGACATGAGATTCAAGGAGGATTAGAAACTTGGTAACACAGACAGCTAGTTGCAAAGTTAGGATTTCATATGCTTGATGCATGTCCTTCAATCTCAAGTGACCCATGGTCTTTATTTTTAAATGTATGGACATTTAACCTAATATGGATACCTAATTCTCTAATAAATTATTTATCTATTTATCTATACACACACACACACATACATATATGCTGTTTTTACATATAACAAATATGAAGCCCATATTATATAAATAGATTTCACTAATGCAAAATAAATGCATATCATTGAAAGAACATTTTGTCATTTGATTAGGTTCAACTTTAATATGTAGCAGATTTTAGAAAATAAACCAGACAGTTGTATATTTATAGACCCATTTGGCTTTCAACAGAATGCAGTTATGAGTTCCAGGTGGTCAAAATGCCTTAACTATTGTTTTTTTTTTTTTTTCTTATTAGCAAAGACACACTTTAGCACTTACCTGAACAACTTTATTTCCCATATGCATTTGGAATAAGTATATTACACTTGATTTTGAATTGCTGTGCTTTACTATTACAGAGGTTTGTTCTACCTACATATAATAAAATCAAGAGTGGGTATTCAGTTTCATTTCCTACTTGATGATTTGTCTTCCTCATCTTAGGCAAAATAATTCAAATCCTTTATCAGCATGTATCTCTGCCCCCTTGCTGCTTCTTGTGCACTGTGGTGCTGCAAAATCCCACATTTGTTCCCACATTGTTACCTTGTGCATGGCCTTTCCCTTTGCCTGGAATGCTCATCCGGATTCTCATGTGGTTGTCTATTTCTCATTATAGAGATCATAGTCTATGTCACATTGCTACAAATAGAAACTCCCCTTATTACCCTCCAACTTAGCTTCTTCAATAGCGCTCTGGTACACTGAAATTATTTGATTCACTTGTAAAAATATCTTTTGCTTCAATTACTTGATTGTAAATTCTGTGAGTGCAGAATTTGACCTGTGTTTTCTCTGTTGTTCCTAGAAGCACAGAGTAGATTGTTTAGCATCCAGTAGTTGCTAAGTAAATGTTGGTTGAATGAGTAAAATACAAGCATGACTAAATGAGTGTGAAGACTAAAGCTCATCTGAATTGACTACTTTCTGTTCAATTAGCATTGGCAAACTCACAGCTCATAGTTTTCTCTTTAACAATGATGTGCTGGCTGTGTGTAGTCAAGAGTGCAGATGGAATTGATGACTGTAGGTAGTTCTAACCCTCAGGATTCCTTTGAGTCTGAAATAAACACCACTGAGAGATTGTAAACATACACAAAAGATGCATAAGTATTGAAGTTTCTACTCTGAAGACCCCCAGTGGTTGTCTAGTTGAACTGTTACTGAGAGCAGCGTGTTAAACATTGAATTAGGAGATCTGGCTCTGGCTCTAAGTAGCTTGCAACTTTTAAGAAGTTGTTATTCATTCTGAGCTTTATACTACTTGTCTGAAACGAGGAATAAAAGAGCATTGTACAGCTATTTCCTAAGTCCTTTTAGTGCTGGCTTTTCATGTTAAACATTTCTGATATTATTAATCTGTATTCTAAAGGCCAGAATATTTTCTGTTGGGTAAAAAAATATATCCATTGAATCTGGAATTAATGCAATCTTATCCCTCCCTAGAATCTAATTTTTCATTCAGTCTTGGAAGTTCAAATAAATGTGAGTCCTGCTTTTACAGTATACATTGAGAGCACATTAAAAGAAAATCAATGAAGCGTAACATGTAAATGCAAAAATTCACCAAGAACTTGTAGTTTGTTTAATATGAAAACTTGAAGCTAATTTTCCATATTAAGGAGATTTAAACAATGATGCTAATGTAGAATTGCAGCTGCCTTTAATTG